TAAACTTCCATTATCACTAAATAAAATCACCCTGTTGCTGAGCAAAATACTGCTGCAAGTGACAGAGCTGTGAGGGTGTGATGTATTCTTGGTCTGGTCAGAGGGAACATTGAATTTGTCTCCAGCAATAGAACTGACACAGGTTTTGTATCATAATTGTCAACTGTCTATCCTGGAGAAGTTATTGTTTTTTAGAAGTGAAGTTACACATGTCCATATTATGCCATTCTCATTAACCAGCAATATACACCAGCTCAACAGATGAGGGACCCTGGAAATTACTGTTAGTATCTGCAACAGCCAGGGCAGTTTTTTCTCCTCTTGGCATGCAAAAAACAAACAAGAAGAATTTTTTATTTATGAATTAAGATCATTCAAGTAATAACTGTCTAAATAAATTTTTTCGAAAACCAATTGCAATTCATACATTTTTACAATTGGCATACTAATTTTTAATACTTTATTATAAAATGTATTTCATATTTTATTATATTTATTTTATTTTTTTTCTCATGCAGCAGTCACAATTGACTGGTTTGTACAAGTAAGCAAGTAAGATGGATTCAAGAAAACAAGAAACAATCTGAAGTAGATTGCAAGAGCTTGTTCTGTATTTTGCCAGCCAAGCTGCAGGGCACTGTGGGAAAGGTAGTTTTGTTGCTCCTGCAGTGCCATACAGTGGAGGAAAGATGAAACTACAACTCCCAGATGCTTCTTCCTGCTCTCTTCCCCCATGCCCTGACTCTGAGATCAGCTAGCTAGTGGCACAGATTCCCTGCACTTCCCAGCCTGGCTGCATAGCCCTCTTCTTGGCTGCAGAGCTCAGGATTCCTGTATCTGTTGCTGGGCTGCACACAATAATAGATCAGGTAGGGGAAGGGATCTACAGGCTGGTGATTGCATAGTGTGGATGATGGTGTGTGATGCATGTTACAATCAGAGCTGTTGCTGCATCAGATGCATTATACTCCATATGGAGGGAACAATAGGCGGCTGTTGGGTTTTACAGGTCGTGGGTTGGCATCTGTGTACAGCTGCAGGTGGGGCGAGGGCTGGCACTAAGGTGGGTCTTGCTAGAGCATAGATCAGACATTGATAAAAGATATAGACGGTGTTGTATTATGCTGGAACGCAGGGAAGGGGTGGGGAGATCTAAACCTTCTGTACACAGGATAGGTGAGAGATAAACACATGCAAGACTACACAAAGTAGCTGTAGGTAAAATAGCAATATAAAGCAAAACATATTAGATAAACAGTGTAAAAAGATATCATGTATAAATATAAACACAGTTGGTAAACAGTGTATTCATAGACAGTGAGATCGGTGGGGAGTGAGGACTGACAAGGTGATAGATTTCAGGCAGAATAGATGGGGTGAAAATTATTTTGGTGATAATTAAGAACAGGCCATTTCCTCCCCAGGTTCTTCCACTTGTTTTTATTCCATGTAGCTAGAAACAGTTCTGCACGCTTTTAATTACAAAGAGGAAGAACAAACAGGGGGGGACACGACAACAAAAACATAAAGAGAGATTTACAATGCAAGAGTTAAGTGCTACTTGTGGTCTAGGGTGTAAAACAAAAAGAATATACTCATCCTATTCTTGGTCCCCCAGGCTCCGGCGGTCATCACATCTATTGACACTGTGGGGCCGAGGATCAGGTGGGTATATCGCCTTTTTTTTAAGACCAAAACCAGCACTTAATCCCTTGCAGTGCAGGGGTAGCCCCACGGCAAGGGTTAATTTCGTACATGCCCGGAGTTCTTTAAATATATTCCTACAAATCTGCAAAGGATATAAATCCACTTTGTGTGTATCAAATGCATGTTCTTTACTTGTAAAAAGTAGCAATGGGATGATCACTGTGCTGCACATACAGTAGCCTGAGGAAAGCTATGGGAGGCACCCAGCAGGCTCCACCCACTTCAGGCTGCCTGCAGAAAAATAGAGGAGGGGATGGATACAAGACCAGTCAACCTGCACATGAAGAGAGAGCAGCAGTGACCGGTCTTTATTACAGGCAAAATTTGACACTGGATTACTGCACAGTTCTGGAAAAAATACACATAGCACATCGAGATGCAAGTAAGATTACACATGGCTCATGTACTTAGACAATATTTAATTACCTGGCAGTTCAGCCTTAATGAGCTTAGGTTTAACATATTTGCTTATCCATATTTTGTCTATTGTTCGCTTAATTTATCCGTCTCTCCATCCATTCAGGGCAGGTTTAAGACACTGGTGTGACCCTGGCATGACCGGGCCCCGCAAAAAAAACATGCTAATTTGTAGTATCTAAGATTGAATGGGCGATTTGCTGGCTTTGTGGAACTAGTAGCTTCAGGATCCACCTAGGTCTATGACTTTATCTCATAAGCTAACCATACACTAACTGATTGTAAGAAATTTAGGGCTAGCCATACATGTTTAGATACCCCCATCTGCTCTAGAGAACATAGATGGTGGAATCTTCCATAACAGTTATTGTATTCGGGCATCCGGCACCCACAGCTGCTTGAATACCTGAACATAGACTGCATCTATTCAGTTAAAATGTTCCACTAAGCTCCTGTGATTCTTCATTAGAAGTTTGTCAAGCCAGGTGGTGCCGACAGGGCCACTCACTGCTCGAATTTTCGGCCCATTTAACAGGTAGCAGCCCAAATTCAAGCTGTGCATGGCCAGCTTAAGGGCCAGTGAGATTGGATGAAGAAAGAATGGTTACATTGTATAGAGCGTGTTAGGCAACCTCGGCTCTCCAGCTGTGCTCAAACTACAAATTCCATCATGCTTCTGCCTCTGGGAGTCATGCCTGTTGCTTGCAATGCCTTATGGGATTTGTAGTTTCAGTACAGCTGGAGAGCCGAGGTTGCCTACCCCTGGTATAGAGCAATGATAGGCAACCTCTGGCTCTCCAGCTGTGGTAAAACTACAAATCCCACTATGCCTCTAGGAGTCATTCCTGTAGCTGTCAGAGTCTTGCAATGCCTCATGGGATTTGTGGTTGCACCACAGCTGGAGGGTGGGAGTTTGCCAACCCCTGGTGTAGAGGTTGTGCAAACAGATTGCAGTGTGTATGGTGGGAAGTGAGGGAAAGTTTGCCCAATGGGGTCACAGACAGAGATTAAAGAAGTTCAAGAATGTCACAAGCACACCATTGATCAAGTGACATTAGTCCATTTTAATGACAAAACAATGTCATCCAATACTAGCATTTTCGGGGCCTCGCAGGGTCCCCTTCATTAGGATTCTGAGCCTGATGACCCTGCGCGGCCCAGAAAGCGCTAGCATTGGATGACATTGTTTTGTCATTAAAATTGACTAATTTCACTTGATCAATGGTGTGCTGGTGACATTCTTAAACTTTATGCATACTTTACAGTGACCGAGGATCGGGTGAATATTTCTTCTTTAATTGAGCCCCTAGAGAAAAACGAACAGTTAACCCTTGCAGTTTGAGCATAGCTTCGGCCGATCCTTCGGCTAGCTTCAGCCCCAGGACCCCTTCGGTTCAGTAGAACCGAAGGGCTGCTGTAAGGGCTATTCACTATAGCCCGTACAGCTCCCGAATTCGGCCGAGCGGCTCAGTCGAGCCGAACGCATATGCATCGGCTCATCTGAGCTGCGCTGAAAGCCGAAGCTGGCAGAGCGGCCGGCCATTGGCCGGCCAACAGCCTGCTTCTGACAGCTGGGCGGAGCCAGCCGTGATCTTACGGCTGGCTCCGGCCACTTGCAGAGAGATCAGCGTCCATGGTTACCTGCTAACCAGGGACACTGATCTCCAAACAACAAACTCTCCCTGGCGCTCCGGGAGTCTCCCGCTCCCGGCCGCCAAGGAGAGATACACTGCTTTTTCTTTTTTTTTCTTTATTCTGACACAGAGCTGTCTCAGAATAGAAAAAAAAATGTTTTGGCCATAGGAATGCATTGCTAGATTCCTATTGGCTATTTCAATTTGCAATAGCCATTGCACCCGCCCTCTGCTGCAGTTCTCCATCAGGTTAATCACTATTGATTGACAGCAGCAGAGGGCGGGTACTATAGCTAGTTTGCTATTGGCTATTGCGCCGGGGAGATTTTTTTTCTTTTTTTTTGACGGCAGCAGATAAGGCGTTCGGCTCACTTCGCTTTAGGTCGGTCATTCACTCGGCTGCCTACGGCAGCTTAGTGAATAGACCCCATGTCTAAATGTCTATCTTCAATAAAGCCTTTGGCTAAGTCTCACCTATCTTCTTTAAAAAAAAAAAAAAAATCCTCAATTGCCTTTTCAGTCTTATTATGCTGAGCACACCATGAAGTTCTTCTCCCAATTTTATCCATATACTACTTTTATTGGATAATTTGTCGGCAGAGCATTCACTTTGAAATTATGAAATTACTAGAGCCAATACTATTGTCCAATGATCATGCACAATTAAAACTTGGAAGGAGTCTAGTGGATGTCCTCGGGACCCAACTACAACGTTCATGCTCCTGCAGTAAACCAGGCCTGGCTGCTAGCCCAGTCCCCTCAGCCTCTTCTCCAATGTGCTCTGGTGTTCTAAGCCTCACTAACGTTATCACCTCTAAAGGTGCCCATACACTGTACGATTATTCGTACGAGAATCGCGGGAAATCCCACGATCGTACGATAATCGCAACGTGTATGGAAGGCGTGCAAACGTTTCTACTGTACGGTCGCATGTCTTCCGTCGAACAAGCAGGCTGGAAAACCCACCGAGAATCGGACGGTTAGTGGCCTGCTTGTTCGACAACTGCCGAACGGGCCGATGTGCGCACGCGCACACTGCCCATTCAGCATTGCAGTCATCGGAAGCCCGCCCCTCAGGGGGGCGGGCTTGCGATGATCGCAAGTACGATCTGCCTGTCCAAGATGGGCAGATCGTACGTTTTTTAAATTACTTTACAACCCTCGCAAGACAAAAGTCTTGCGCGGGTTGTAAAGTGTATGGCCACCTTAATGCTGGTCCATTCACCTGCAATAGACATGAGAATGCCGGAGGAAAGACTACAGCTGGAGCCTGGGGATAGGGAGGTGAGTATTGACTGCCACAGACTAAGGATCAGGTGAGTATATTTCTTGTATTCCGACCCCTAAACCAAAATGAGCACTTAACCCTCGCAGCGCCGGGGTAGCCCCACTACAAAGGCTAATTTTGTTAATTCCTCAAGTTCTCCTCCAAACATAACAATGGACATTTACACTTTATGGAGGATTTATGTAGCTTTGCTTGATAAACCTTCTCTGTTGTGTTTCCTATTCGGGGGCACTACAAAGATCATGTACAAACGAACCCCCAGATTTTTTATAAGTTCTTGGATAGAGCTTCTTGCCACTTTTGTAAACCAATTTTATCTAACGAATGACTTCTGGGAGGACTGCTTTTCACCATGCTAATTATTACGTATTCATTCTGCAAATGCTTCTTTTTAAAGGCAGCATCTCATGATGGAAGAACGTAAGACAGATATAGGTGAAATCTTGGATGCCAAGCAAAAGTTCCTTGAAGATATGGAGGTAATGGTTCCATAACACAATGTAAATGTAATATATCAGATATTGTGCACCTGAAAATACCATGCCCCATATAGAGTGTAAATACCATGTGAAACCAAATGCAGTCATATTTTTATAGCAAAAAAGTCCACAACCTAATTAAAAGCAGCATATTGTTATATAATGAGGAGCTGGCTTGTTGAGGCCATGCCCAGAAATATGGCTTATAAACATGCATTGCTTGCATTCCAATCCCATAACAATGGTCTACTTCATATATGAATACCTTTGTTCATACCCTTATGACTTATCTATAAAATCGTTCTAAGAAAGAGGACCAAGTAAAATCACTAAATACAGCTAAATGAAGTATTCCTAAAGCTTCTCTAAATTCATCCGGGCAGCTCCACCTTGTACTAGAAGAGTATAATTACTTACCTCTTCAGAAGGCTGAAAATCCAATTTTTAGCTCTTCGGTGGTGTTATTAAAATATCAATATGCCTTAATGGGTGGATGTCAGTCTGGAGGACTGGGTGACCTAGGCATGCTGCATTTTGCATTCAGTAACACACACGTGTAATGCTTAACCTCCATGAAAGAGGCAGGTCCAGGGTCATTAAGGCCGGGGAGGAAAGTGCTAGACAAAGCTGGGCATCCTCCAGCCAGGATATGAGATTGACTCTATCTGAATTGCTGCAGTTTTTTGAGAAAGTCAGAGTATGCAATTAACAATTTTAGTACAAGAGATGAGCCTGTACAAGACTGAAAGAAGGTCAACGTTCATGAATAATAATTAAAAATAGCTCTTTAAAAAAGGTCACAGAAGTGTTTTATACCAGTTTTGGACTATTTTACATAAGGGATTGATTTGCCTATAGCAAACAGACAGGCATGACATGACATACATGACATGTTAAAGATGAACTCCAGGTAAATTTTTATCAACCCTTGCAGTGGGGGTACCGCCACACTGCAAAGGTTAAGCGCTTGTTTTGGTCTAGGGCTGAAAATAAAAAAGTTATACTCACCTGATCCTTGGAGCCATCCGACTCTTAGACCAGTCCCTGGAGCCTCTCTCCCCCTCCACTGCAGTGGTGTAAGGTCCCATCATTCATCATATTCTATGCACATTGTATAGGACATGAAGACGCTGAGAGACATTCCATTGTAGGAGCGGAGGAGGCGGCAGGCTGCAGGGACCGTTTTCACAGCCGGAGGATTGGGCAGGTATAACTTTGTTATTTTCAGCCCTAGACCAAAACAAGCAGTTAACCCTTGCACTGCAGGGTTAGCCCCACTGAAAGGGCGAATAAAAATATGTACCTTGAGTTCTTCTTTAAGTATCAGTCAATGTAACACATTACAGTTTTATTTCAGTATTATGGCACTGTAGATGTTATCCATCTTTATTCTTTCTTTAGGAGCCAACAAAGTCAGATGGAGAAACTGTGTGTTTTTCAGTAGAAGAACTGGATTCTTTAGAAGATCGGGAAAAGCAACGTAATAAAAATACAACAAAAATTCACCAACGCCCAAACTTAGTGGGTGAGGGATAATCAGTGTTACTTTTTTCCCAATACCCCACATAGCCACTTCAATGGAAATTCCAATGGTAGAATTAATAGATTTAGGGGGTTATTCACTAAGCTGCCGAAGGCAGCCGCATGAATAACCAAACCGAAGTGAGCCAAAGCCTCTTCGGCTATTCATTGCAGCCCTGTACAGCTATATTTAGCCATGCATCAGCTGCATTTGGCACACTTTCCCTCCCTTCAGCAGGTGTGGCCGAACCGAAGGGAAGAACCCGTTCGCCTCAGCCGATTCAACATCTGGATCGGCTGAAGTAAACGTTCGGCAGATCCTTCTCTGCTGTTCACCACTATTATCAAAGGGGCCGAACAGCAGGGAGTGGATAGCTGAATTCTCAGCTCAGCATTCGGCTACTCTAGCACTGCAAGGGTTAACTGATTGTCTTCGTGTTGGGGCTGAATATACTCACCTGATCCTTGATCCCACCTGGCTGCTAGATGGGTCCCCTCAGCCTCTTCTCCCCTGTGGTCTAAGCCCCACTGACGTCATCAAGTCTAATGCTGGTCCATTCACCTGCATTAGACATGAGGATGCCGAGGGAAAATCCCAGGTGCCGCCCCCCTTGTGAATGAGTAAGGGGTAGTAGTTACTCCTACTCATTCACCAAAAAGTACAGAAAAAAATTAATAAAAACACCACACCTTTAAAATGCTTTAATTAAACAAAAAACAAAAGACATTTTGATAAGTCCTGTATTAAAAAAACAAAAACCCCAAAGAGGCTCCAACGATGCAATGCAAAGGTCAGTCACATCGCCCAGTATAAATCAAGATGAACAATGCCCGCTGACTCAGCAAAATCAAAAAAGCCCCCCACCCGCTGACCCGACCGCTACCGCTGAACTCCCGCCACAAAATGACAGGTCACTTCCTCAAATGGCATGTAAACAAATGGGGGGAACGAGTCCTCTGACATCACAACTCGCCCCCCCCCCGTTTGTTTACATGCCATTAGAGAACAGTGACCTATGAAATTTTTTTTGGGCTACATCAGTTAGGGGTTTTTATTGCTATCTGTGTCTCCATTAGGGAGATACTGAATATATACAGTATATATCTATGTGTTCTGGTGTCCACTGTCACTTTAAGTTGGAGGAATACCCAGAATTTTGAGTTGTCACCTGAACAGGAATAGATGAGAGATCTTACAATGTAGAAAAATATTCTGGTGACAAGATGGTATTTTCTTCACTATGGAGAGTTTTCATCCCACTTCCTGACACTTTTACAGGACAGGAAATTAAGGTAAATTTCCTTAATGGAACACAGACAACATAAAAGGGCAGTGTTTTAACCCTTCTTTTTCTCCTATTTCAAATTTTAAAAAATGTGGCTTTAGATATATGTTAATCTGGCAACGCCTTTTACAGTCTAAATGAAATCTGCTTGGTTCAGTTTAAATATACACATAGAAATATCTAACATTTTATAATTGAGTGACTAAAGACATTTTAAACCTCTGGCACTCAGTCTGCAGCCCAGGGGGCTCTTATTGTGTGGCCTTCGGAGCCCCTGCAGTATGGGGTTGATTTAGTAAAAGCAAATAAGCTGTTCACTTTGCAAGGGAATTTGCACACGTTTCTCCTAGCTTAGTGAATGAGGTACAAATTCAGTATGCTAAGAATACCCAAATAGGAGCAAGGAAAATAAAAACAGCAATATATTTTTTTGCACATAAATGGATGATAGAAGTCAGAAGAGCTTCACCTCATTCACTTATCTAGTCCTCAACAACTCAACTCCTATATTATGTTCACTGTCTCTGGCTACCTCTTGTAGCATGTCTACAGTCTCTGACAGTTTCTGTAGTATTGCATTCACTGAGTATTATGTGAAGCCCTTTAATGATGTCAGGGGCCAGACTTTAGGCCCTGTCTGTCAAGCTAATTTAAAACTGTGTGGTCATCCTTATAACCCTTGTCGACGTGCTTTGGCATTGTTTTGATGCATCCATTTGAGATGCTTCTGGGATCATTCAGAATTAATTGACAGTTGCATTTGAGGTGTAGTTGACTTCCTTCTGACTTGCATTTGATCTACTTCAAGCAACATTTTGCATTAACTTAGACTTGTGTGGGAATGCAAAACCCGTTTGAAGCTAACAAAATCCAACACAGAATCTTGCAGTCTCCAGCCTCCAGTCTAAAGTTTGGGGAATATTGTGCAAAATATCAGTCGTATAACTTGTATCACATGTATAACTGTCTAAAAATGCTTACCTAAAATATATTATCTCTTATTAATCAGGTTACCTGTATGTGAAGCCTGAGACTGTATCCAAAATTCACAGTGGAGAGGAGCTGTGCGTGAGTAGTGATTTATACACTCACAGGAGGAAAAGACAGCCGTACTCCTCCCCAGGTATGAATATAATACAAGTTATGCAGATTTCCCATTGCGAATGTCACATGCAGTGGGGGGAATTTATCAAAACTGGAGCAGACACAATCTGGACCAGTTGCCCATGGCAACCAATCAGCATCTCTCTTCAGTTTGTTCAGGTAATATTTGAAAATGAGACAGAGAAGCTGACTGGTTGCAGTGCAAATCTGCTCCACATTTTGTATGGTCCAGTTTTGATAAATTCCCCTCATTGTCTTTTATTTGCCTGTGCCATTGTCAGTTTGTGTCAGTAGTAGTCTGTTTATGTCAATGTTTAAAGCTAAACTCTAGACACATACAAGACACAAATTTGTGCAGCTCTGTATTCATAGCCATCCCTATATTGTGGCAGTTGCCTCATTGGGTCACGTGGGTACGGTGAAGCGGCCCTCCTTTCCCCCTCAGTGCCCCAGGTTGCTAAGAGCGCTTAGCAACCTGCGACACTCTGGCCGACGTCCTATCCAGCTCTTGGCAACCAGTGACATCAATAAGCTGGGCAAGGTGCCCCCCCCACACACACACGGTAACGTGCACCACTAGCAACTGCCTCCATGACGTGCACCAGCAGCACCCCCCATGCCCATCAGCCTCAGTCATGTGGAACAGGAATGGAGTGTAAAAAGGAAGAAGATGTACAGAAAGCTAATCAGCTCATGTGCTGACAAAAAGAATGTTGATAGAGGAGCTCACCACTGTTCTGTTTCTCCTTTCGATGTACAATCACAGGCTGGCATGTGTCGAGGACAGACTGGGCTGGGAAGTGATTTCCATTTATTACATTACTATATGTATTGCAAAAAAAGTAATAATGGTGGAAAATAGAAGAATATAAGGAATCATTACAGCAAAGTTATAGGAAAGCGGCAAGGGCAGCTGTCCAGAGTGAAGGGAAGATTGGGGCATAATATGTAATTATTGGATTAATAATGGAAACAGGAAATAAATTAAAGTGACCTAAATGTACCATTATTGTAAAACAAATCTATTATGCTCACTGTAAACACTGTAAAAAATAATCAAACACTAATATTGGATGGAAAAACCTGGTCATTCAGTATATTCAGGAAGGCAACTGACCTCATTTTATGGGGACATAATGTTGCTGAACCTAGATCTGACCAACTGAAGCAACCCCAGATCATAACGCTTATCAAATGGAAAGCTTTTACATATTTGCTTAGCTAAATCCAGGTGGTGACTTTTTTTTTGGTCAGGCAGTATATTTTATAATTCATTTTAGAGGTCTATTATCTTACTTTCTATGGAAGCCTGTAAACCTGGCCCCAAATTATATGATTACATGATTTTACTATGTGATACTAATGTGAGCCAGGACTTACTAAGTCTGTGCTTACAAGCATTATCAGAAAAGGTAAAATAACTAGGACAGGTAGTACATGTAACAACACATTGGAATCAATACATTTCAAACTAGAGAAAAATGTGTTGTTCCAAGAAACTAGGAGGGTTATTCACAAAGCTAGCCGAAGGATCAGCCGTAGCTTTGGCTGATCATTCGGCTGGCTTCGTTTGCAGGAGCCCTATGGTTCGGTAGAACCGAAGGGCTGCTGTACGGGCTATTTACTTTCGCCATACAGCTCCCGAAGGCGGTCGAGCAACTCAGCCGAGCCGAAGGCATATGCTTCAGCTTGACTGAGCTGAAGTGACAGACGAAGCAGAGTGAACGGCCGGCCGAAGGCTTTCCAAATGACAGCTGGGCGGAGCCAGCCGTGATCCCACGTAATGACATATCAGCGTCCCATGGGGACGTTCTCATTAAACAGTGACAACTGGGCGTAGCCGGCCGTGACGTCACGTCCCGCTCTGCCCAGTTGTTATTCAGTGGCTGGGACCTTCTGGAAGACTCTAGCAGGTGCCGGCCAATAGGAAACAGTTGGGCGGAGCTGTAACTGTTAGCTTTGCCCAATAGTTTTTTGTTTTTTTTTGTTAATTTTTTTATATTTTTTCATTTTTAAGAATTCTTTATTTATTTATTTTTTAGATTTAACATTTATTTACATTTCCAAAATCTTTTCTTTTTACTTTTTGCATTGAGTTCCTATCCTGCTCTGTACCACGGAGGTACCGAGCAGAATAGCCGAGCCGAATGGCGCTCGGCAGCATTCGGCTATTCACTCCCTGCCGTTCGGTCCCTATGTGAATAGGGGCGAACGGCAGCGGCTCAGCTCTGCATGTTCAGCTGACCGAAGTGCAGCCAATGTATGGCTCATTTCAGCCAATGTACGGCTGAAATCAGCCGTACTGAGCCGTAGTGAATAGCCGACCGTTGTTCAGCTCACTTCACTACGGCTCGGTTATTCACTCGGCTGCCTCCGGCACCTTAGTGTATAACCCTGTAGATTTCTGTTGTTATTTTTCAGCATTTCTTTGACCGAAGCATCTGATACATGCAAAGGTTGTATGTATGGTTTATAATTGACTATATTTCCTTATTACATACTGTGTGTAGAATCTGGTTTCTGCCTGTAGTACTTGCACAGGGGTTGTGCCATAAGGCCCATGTACACTTTAGTGCTGTTTTCTAATGTGTTAACTAATGTGTAGCAATGGATGTTGCGTTTGTGCATTATTGCTTGTTGCATCCCGACAGTCCATTTATTTTGAATTGTCTACAAAACGCACCACAACGATGTTAACAGTAGACATGCTCCATTTCTTCTAACCCAACATACCAAAAGGCATGTTGTGTGAATTGAGGTGTTACTGTTTTAGTGCATTGTGATGCTTAACAAAAAAAAATAAAAAAATTAACGGCACCTCAACAACTGGAGTATGTACATTGCCATTGTGGTAAAACCTCAATACATAAGTGTGATTAGGATCTTGCTGTTCCTCACCGTTGCGTCTTACTAACAGGATGCTTGTTATTTGTCTGAACACGTACACAGTAGTTGTATCACACAAATATGCCTATGGCACAGCAGGTATGTAAAATGTGAATGTTGACCTAAAAATTACTAAACATTATACACTGTAAATAATTAAACAATTATTAGGGATGCAGTGAAATTTCAGCTGGTGAAACATTTTGACCAACAATGGTCTATGTAAAAAATGCCAATAGTACCCTAAAGCCGAAAATGCGGTGCATCTCTAGCGTCTCTCCTCCCTGCTGGACACCGGTATGTGTCCCCTCTGATGTTCGTTGCTCTCCCCTGCCTGTGTTGGCAGAGGCAGTGGGAATCCGAGGGGACACAGACTGGCGTCCAGAGAGGAGGAGAGAAGCTGTCAGGATGCCGAGTGGGGTGGTGTGGTGAGGTGAGAGCTGTCAGCTGTCACAGGAGGCAGAGCGGGAAAGTACGGAAGGAGAGCTCGGCCTACTGTGACAGGTGGAGGAGTCAGGATGGAGAACTGATCACTGAGTGCTTGTAAATAACTGAGGACATAGTATGCTTACTGTGTCCCCAGTTATGAATGAACAGGAAGTGCTCTGTGGACTCCACAATCTCTTTTTCTATTTTAAAAGGGAAATATCAGGGGTCTCTCTAGACCCCTGATATTTTCCCAAAGCCCCTAACAGTAAATTAAAAAAATAAAAATAAAATAATTCAAAACATTTTAAAGAGGTTGAACAAAAACGTAATGTTCCATTTCGGCCTGACAAAAATGTTGTTTTCGGTTTACAAAATAAAATTTCAGTGCATCCCTAAAAATTATGTATTACTAATACATTACATACATGAGATTGATGTGCTCAGTGAAAATACATTAAAGTTTCCTTTAATTTTGCTAGTATACAGCTAATACTTACTACCGCTGTACATAAAAAAATGGCAGCGTGGTAAATGTGTATTTCTGCAGTGCCTAAAGGACAGGTGGCCACTGCGCCCTTTGATGGCTGTGATCTGTGCCATCATCAGATGCCAAAGATCATAGACATAATAAACAGAGCCAATCCGAGCAGCTCTGTACCTTGCGATTGCTGTGATGAAGAATGAGGGCATCAGACAGCACCAGCAGATCATTCATGGCGATAGGCTGTCATTGTTAGTAGGATTGTTTTTTTTGCGCTTTCACACCCTCCTCTCACCTCCATGCTGTCTTTATGTGACTTCTATATATTACCTCTCTTTCACCTCCCTTACCTGCACATTAATCCCCCCATCTCCATCTTCTCACTGTATGTGACTTAATTCCGTCATCTCCTCATTCTATGTATGACCTGTAATGCACCACTACCAAGTTCCGTGTTTTAACCACCTCATAACTGGAATGTTTCTTCATTTGCAAAACAATGTGGCAAAATATTAGGTATCTACTTTTCAAAAAGGGGTTATTTTGGGGGGTTTCATGTTGTCCTAACATTTTATTTTTATTTTTGTTTATATGTTTTGTAAGAGAAACAGATTTTCTTTTTCAAAGTTTTTGGTCTTTTTACCTTTTATGTGGTGAAAAAGAAAAGGTGGTTATTAAATACCATCAAAAGAAAGCTCTATCTGTCTCAGAAATAACATAAAACTCATTTCATTTATGAAAAATGGCCTGGCAATGAACGGGTATTACAGGCTGGTACTGAAGTAGATAAAGGTGAAAAAAATTACATGCATCTCTAAATAAATAAGATATATTTATTTAAACTTGTATATATGACGTTATATACTGTATCATAGTATATATCACTGGATTTTTTTTCTGTATTAGATACCTCCTTAAATAAAGTTGTCCGATCTCCTTCAAGACAATGCAGAAAACAGAGGACACTTGCAAGTAGCTCACCTGCAGAAGATCCACCTTCCACAGACCAACATGATAAGAGTTCCAAGACTGTAGCCAGCAAAAGTGACCTACCCACCATAGCACACACCTGCAGTGAATGTGGTGATCGTTTTACTGAGCACTCCCTTTTTCTTAAACACCAAGCAATTCATGTTGAGGATAGAAATTTAGTAGTCAAATATGACAGTAACATGTCCTCAACGAAGCATCAAGGGGTCCAAACTAATGAGCACACTGGCAGCCGTCTCCGTCAGAGAAAACACGTGATCTACACTTCTAGTGCAGTTACAGAGAGAAAAGTTCAGACTGAGCCAAAATCTTTTATCTGTAAAGAGTGTGGCAAAAGCTTTACTCAAAATGCAAGCCTAATTGTACACAAGAGGACTCATACTGGTGAACGGCCCCATACCTGCAAAATCTGTCTCAAGAGTTTCATCAGTGGGTCCTACCTGGTCATGCATCATAGAGTTCATACTGGGGAGAGACCCTATGTCTGTAATGACTGCGGCAAACGTTTTATTAGCAGCTCAAACCTTATTATTCACCAGCGTGTCCACACCGGGGAAAAGCCGTACCTATGCACAGAATGTGGCAAGTGTTTTGGTCACAGCTCCCATCTAGTGAGGCACCAGAAGGTTCATACTGGTGAACGTCCTTTTACTTGTGCTGAATGTGGCAAGGCTTTCTCCAGAAGCTCACACTTGGTGAGGCATCAAACCATTCACATGAGAAGTCTGGCCAACTCAACTGTGTGAAATTATGGACACACTAATAAGATATGGAAGTAGACACTTTCAATGTTCAGCTCTTTTTATTGTTCGTAAATCTTTGTCTGCAGCTCTTTCATAAAACAAATCATAGTCATTGTATATTTATTGTTGTATTGCCTTATAAAATGATATAATGATTAAAGACCTCCACCTAAACAATTAAGTCATTTGAGTTCAAATAAAAGCAGGATATCATTTTGCATCTCTAACAGCATCTAAAAGGGTAAGTCCACATTTTTCTGCATTCCCCTAATTTGACCTTCTCCTTTCTGTTTCAACTTTGTTTTAAAAATCCAAGGGTGTAAACCATTTTCCTTGATGCAGCTGATTTTCCTGACTGTTGAGTCTACATAGCTAATGTTCTACCAAGGACCCCCTTATGGGAGGTTGGACTTAGCTGCAAGCTACTCTCAAGTGACTCAACAAGTACTCACAGATGCAGAGGAGGGTAGGTGCAGCAAACTAAAAAAAGATAACTGTATGAAAGTATAGCATGTAGAACAAGGTTGTACTGGAAGTAGAGTACACTGGTAACAAGGTTGTACTGGACGTGGGGTACACTGGTAGCAAGGTCCACTGAGGTGGAGGTTTACTAGTAGCAAGATACCTTGTAGCAAAGTATGCTATGGTAAGATATGCTGTAGCAAGGTATGCTGGTGACAATTTGCATTTGTACCCTGTAGCAAAGTATGCTGTGGTAAGGTATGCTGTAGCAAGGTATGCTGGTGACAATTTGCATTTGTACCCTGCAGCAAAGTATGCTGTGGTAATGTATGCTGTAGCAAGGTATGCTGGTGGCAATGTATGCTGAAGGCAAGGTTTGCTGTAGGTATACATCAGCAAGGATAGGGTAGCAAGACTGGATGACTCAATGCTTGAGTGGTGATAGTGGGTCCCGCTCATGTGTAAATGAAACATCCAATTATGTGGCTCTTCAAGTGATACTGCCACAATAATCGAGTGAAAACCCGGAAGTGACCGTGGGATACAGAGAGGGCTTAGGCACGGTAAGAAAGTAACTGTGACACTTGTAAATATAAATGCATACCGAGAGGTAGAGAATGCACAAATAACACTGCTTGACCTACCCAGGACCAGCATTGTGTTTCTGTCTTCCAGCACTCCCAGCAATCTTTCTCATCTTGCACATATGCTGGCATATGGAATAGAGAATAAACACTGTGCCTATAGGACGCCATTATACTCTGTGGGGTCTCCTGGCACTTGAACTGGATTTTAAAGATAAAAAACAAAAGGGAACAGAGCACCACCTCAGTGTGTAAAATCGTTAAATAAATAAAACAAGGGATATATTTATTCACAAGCACAACATTTTCATCATGCTGTGACAACAAACAAGAGCCACACTGTCTGTTAACCCAACATAGTATCGAACAGAGCGCCTCCATAGTGTAAAAACGTAATTTATTAGTACGACACACAACTAGAATTGTACTTACAAAAATGTGGGTGGTTAAAAGCATGTAAAAGTCGATGGAACTTGAAATCTCTAACAGCGGGAGTCTGAAGGGATGTATCTTATCAGTGTCCTCTGCCCCTGTGAGTTCAAAAGGTCTACGCGTTTCAGGGGCACGCCCCCTTCATCAGAAAATGATTCTTTCAGCCAGGCGGGATGGAAGATCAGTAGTGTATATTTTTTTTATTTGAGCCCCGAGACCAAAATGGGCACTTAACTCTTGCAGTTCAGAGGTAGCCCCACTGCAAGGGTAGATTTTTTTAGATTTCTGGAGTTCCTCTTTAATTTGATGTTTCCATCTGACAAATGTGCAGGCAGATGGACATTATGAATATGCTGGTCAGCTGATGTTAAAATACCACCAAAACACACGTATAGATCTGCTAAATTGATTTTTATTGATACACTCTGTATAAAAGCTTATTCAAATATCAATTTTTTTAGATATTTAGGAGCACTGTAAGATAAAGGCAAAAAAAGCCCATAGAAGATTGGATTACTTGCCCTATTTAAATCAGATTTTGACATAATTATGCATTGATCAGATCAGGATTCATCTAACCCTCAACCTGAATCTCCAGATCAAGAGGACAATAGGAGTGGTTGTATGTAGAGTAACAGAGCACACTCAGGCAGATGTGGCCATCATACTATGGATTGTTATGCACCTCCTTTTTCAATATTCAAAAAATACTGATGCATGACATTTTACTTATTTATGGGTCAATAACCAGCAAATTATGTCTACGTTAGTAAAGGAGGACTCCAGTCAGAATAAAAGGTCCACTTCAGCCAAAACATTTTTTCAGAGGTAGTGGGAAGAGTTCTGACTGTTGCCATGTATTTCTTTGCTGCCTGTGTTCCTGGTGGAGATATTTCCCCTCACTTTCAGTGGTCACCAGGACAGGAAGTGAGCAGAATGTCTCCGAGGACACAGACATCAATGAAAGCACTATTTTTTAATAGGGTGTAAAAATGCTGGAACCCTATTTCTGCCTGTTGCTCAATTAGGGAAATGTCATTACTTGCTAAGTGGTCATAAGAAATAAAGTGAAATCTCCATTGGGGATACTGAAGACATGATTAATCTGAAGTCAACAAATTAGATCTCAGCAGGTAAGATTAGGCTTGCAGTTTGTTTATTAGGAAAGAAGCCACTGTGGCACCTAACTGCATTGTATTCAAGGGGTTCAAGCCCAAAACATAAAAAAGCAGTTCTTTTTCTTTAAAACTATTTATTTTGTATATTCTTTTTATATGTACTATTAAATTATGTGTTATTTTTTGGAATGTTTTTATAAGGATGTAACCAGTAATGGAAATATTTTGATTCTAAAGTAGCGAGAAGAGTAATAATTATTGTTTTAGTTTTATTGATAAAATATCATTACAGTGGCTTCAGTGATCTCCTTGCTGCTACTCCAGTGTTGGTGGGTCCCATATCCATTCCAGTCATAGGCTACAAAATCTCCACATTGTCTGGGGTTTCCTTCAGGGACATACCCTCCGCTTCCGATACAGTGCTGGAAGTGACAGAAACAGTGTAGATTTATTCAAGAAAGACATGGGCAATTCTACTAATAAAAAAGAAGATTGAATGATGAATTATTTTATTTTATACACTGGCACTTAAAAGCATTAGGAGGTAACCTATGGAGATATACAGTATGTATTGACTGATTTCATTTTTGGGTGAAAGGTAATACATTTATTTATTTACTGGCCTATAAAGCCCATTTGAACTTTAATTTAAATCAGGTAAATACATTCCAGGAGCTCAGCATTGAATGGAAAGCTCTGTCTCTGGCTCAGCAGTGGCAGGTTGGACCTCTGCAGAGAGACCATTGCTTCTACACAGAGAGCAAGGGTCCTTCTCTGCCAAATGCTGGCAGAGGACAGGCTTACTAAAGAAAACAAACTGTAAGAGTTTGCACACCTTTGGTTTTGAAGCACTTGGCATATATTTAGCTGATTGAAATGGCAACTTCATTTGGGCTTTACAAATGATCAGATATCCCAGTATAGACAACATGGCAAAGGCTTATTCTTATTTGCTTTAAAGCATATCGATTGTGTCAAGCAATTCTTCATGGACATATTTTTATGCAAGGATACTTTACATTTACAACATAACCGCCAGAGGTGGGTATGGGTATTTGAATTTGCAAAGCGATTGATCTTATGATTCAGATGATCATAATAAGTTTCTCACGTACATGTTCTGAATGGCATCCAGTTACTTTCACTCCTGGACACAGAGCCAGGGCAGCCTTCTCAGTATTAATGACACGAAAATGAATATAGCCAGGAACAAATTCAGCTGGGGAGTAAAAAAAACTATTTGATAACCTCATCATAAAAAATACTACTTGTCATTTTCATTCTGTATTGCTGTATTTTATTATGATATTGATATTTCCTCATTGCGGCCATGCAGGCAGTTTGAACTACATTTAGGCTTAGTAGGCCAGCTTTTCTCAACCAGGTTGATGGGTACCCTGGGGTTCTTTCTGGCTTTGCCAGCGCCATGGAAACACAATACACATCCAGGGTGGGCTCCATCCAGGACGTCCGCCAGTATTCAGAAAAGGACATGATTCTTCCTCAGTCCAGACCTCCTCTGCCGCCCTCTGCCATGATGCTACAGCCAAACTATGGTAATGAATTAAGTTAAGACTCTGATGTAAAGTGGGGACTGAGGATGCGAAGGGGGCTTCTGATATGACTGGCAGGATTTTGACATGAAAGGGTGGGATTCTGATGGGTGGATGAGAAGGGGGAATTTTGCTGTAGAAGCATAGGACTCTGTGGGGGGAGGGGTGCTCCATGTAATTTTTTTGTTTTGTTTTTGAGTGGTGTCTACCTTTAAATCCATACAATACTACTATCTGGGATAAAGGTCTTGTGTAGATTTTGGTAGGAACCAAACATTTTTTCACATTTTAGACTGGGTGCCTCAATATTTTGCATAGTTTTAAAGAGTGTAGTGACTGAAAAAAAGGTTGAGAAATGCTGTAGTAGGCAGTGGGCTTCAGATTAGTCAGGATGGAATGTGTGTTGCTTCTTCTTGGCTACTCTGTTACATCAAATTCTGTATCTTTGTATCTTGCTCTTTGGGGCTGTAGCTAACACACATATTTCAGTTATCTGTTATCATTGCTCCAAGCTCACTCCCGTGATCGACTACAACCTTGATACAAATTAGTTAACTAAATGTGAAATTGAAGTCCATTACAGGAGTGAGCTTGGAGTGGTGGATACTTTGCAACACACAGAGGGACCATGGGGAGCAAAAGTAGCCACCCTCCAGAAGGAAGGACAGTGTCAGCGTGAATTCAGAGATGGTTTGATGATCTACAGCCAAGTGATACCCAAATAAGCTACATTTTTGTTAATAGTTAAGGTGCTCAAATGCATTTTTAAGATTTAACTCCTGAGTTTATTGTCACTTTATTGCGATAAGTTAAAATTTGTTTCTGTGTATAGCTGCTCATTGCAGATGCAGTTTCCCTGCTTAGCAGTGCTGCATAATGACTGCATTGGCCTAGCATATACCTCCCAACTGCCCCTCATTTGGAGGGACTGTCCCTCATTTGGAACCATATTCCTCTGTCCCTCTTTCCTCCTCAGTTGACCCTCTTTTTGGTCTGGTGTACAAAGGTCTATGAAAAGGTACTGTCTAACTAACAAAAGTGTTATTCTGCACTAAAACCTTTATCTTAGCTCTTAATTATATTGTTTACTATTTTGAAAAGCCAGTAGAAAGGAAAAATAATGGTGAAAACAACTTTTTGGGTTTAACCAATCATTTTGGCATATAATTTCTTAATGGTCCACATAACCAGCGGGGTTTTGTCCATTGCCTAATTTCATTGTGCTGGAAGGTGTCCCTTCTCATCTCAGAAGGTTGGGAGGTATACTAGCATACATTTCTAGATGAATAAGAAAGGAAAGAGAAAGGAATAGCCAAACACTCCTTGTGCAGTTTACCTTGGGGAGGTGAGTGACAGTGGAAATTGGACAAAGTGTTTAAACCTGTATTTTCCTTCATCATCTGAAGAAGCTTTTGGTTGCTACACATCTACTGCTAAAGACATGACACATTGTCAGTTGATTTGATTGAAAACAGCCTATGTCCAGGTTTGGCTACCTGATCTTTTTTTAGAAGTCCTTTTCAGGTAAGCTAATCAGATTCCTTGATATGTAGAATAAAACTGAAGAGAGCATTTTCAAATTTCGGTACAGGGCACAGAAACAACAAGCAATGGAAATCTAAAAAAATCTCATAAAAATTACTTTCATGTAAATGTTAATGTCTAACTTTTCTCTTTTCTGACTTTCATTTTATGAATACTTTTTTCAGGTCAGTGAGTTGGAAATCATTGAATCCAGTGGATAAGCATAAGAATTAGAAAACTATGATTTTCAGAAGAAAGTCAAGAATGGCAGCGCTATGTCTTTCTCATGAAAGGATTACTCAAAATGTATATTCATTATATATATACAGTCTAGTTTTTTTGTTTAATTTGCTGAACTTACTTCTTCCATTCGGTGAGTAGTATTGAGCTGTCTTTTCTTTATCTCCATACTCATATACAACAGGGATGGCTGGCCCATTGTCTTTCTGACAGATCCCAGCATTATATACAACTGGGTTTTTCTAAAAGGAAATAAATAAATGTTTTTAAAGAAGAAACTTCAAACAAGAAGGAAAAAGACATCATATTCATTTTATCCATACATGCCAGAGCAACACAATTCTATATATAGCAAGGTTTGCAACTCCATAGAGTGTGATTGGCAATTTAAACTAGAATTAACTATCACAAGAGAATACTTATGGGGCTGATTTATAACCCATTTGCCCTGTGTATATCTGAGCGAACGACGTTCACAGTGAATCTCTGCCACTACATGGAGCCGAGGACCATAGGAATTAGCTTCTTGGCTCAATCTAGTGGCAGTAACAGTCTGTGAACATCATTCGCTTGGCTATACGCTGGGTTAACATGTTATAAATCAGCCACTTAGGGCCCATTCACTTCAGATGCAGTCCGTTCTGTATTTGAGCTGCATCAAAAACGCAACACAATGCTTTCCTATGGGATTCTGGTGTTGTGTTCACACCAGACTAGTCCATTCCCATGCAGCCAGAAAAAGTACTGCTTGCAAACGCAACGGAACACACCTGAAATCCCATTTTAACCCCTTCGTGATGGGAGACGTACACTGTACGTCCAGCCACAAAGGGACCAAATGACTTGTCACGTACACTGTACGTGACGAGTTATTTGCTTCTTTAGAGGGCTGTTAAACGCTGAGAATCAGCTTTTAACATTCATTAATGGATGCCCTTACTACAGAGGCATTCATTAATGAAAGGGTTAACCTTTTTCAGACACCCGATACCTTAATATCGGGTGTCTGAGAGTCAAAGCAGAGGGACACACATGCCGGCTTTTGCCGGCATTCTGACAGCTCGTATAGATCGAGAGAGATATCTCTCTCAAGCTATACTGGCTTTTTTTTCTTTTTTTCTTTCATGGATACATAATGTGTCTATTCCTATAATGTATCTATTCCTGGAAGAAGAATGTTTCAGTTTGCTGATCGTACTTTTTTGTTATATCGTAAAAAATTAATACCCCGGTGGTCATTAAATATCACCAAAAGAAAGCTCTATGTGTCCCCAAAAAATTACAGAAATTTAATTTCAGTATAGCGTTGCATGACCGAATAAATGTCAAAGTGCTGAATACTGAAAAATGGCCTGGACAGGAAGGGCAGGTTAACAACCCGGTCTTCAAATGGTTATGAGGAGCCCACTGTGTTGTTTGATATAATTAAATAAATAAAATACAATTTTTAAGTTTAAAAAAAAGTGAAAAGTGTAAAAAAAAAAAATTGTGAAAAGTGTAAAAAAAAATGTGTAAAAAAAAATAAAATAAGGGACAAATAAATGAATGTATTTATTGCATTTTTTTTTAGCTGTGCTGGTGTTGTAAAAAAAATACTACAAATCAAAACTGGGAAAACAGTGTTTTTTTAAACTTTTTTTTCTCTTTTTTTATATTTTATTTATCCTAAGTGAGGCGTTAGACACACATATGTGATATAAATATGTAGCCCTATCTGTCCTCTAAAAAACAATATATAATATGTGTGGGTGCACTTTGTAAGAAAGTATATTACTGACGTGGAAGAATCACACAGCAAAAATGTCAAAAGTGTGTCAGTCATTTACGAACAGAAACTAAAAACAAGCTCAGTCATGAAGGGGTTAAGCACCCCCCCAAAAAACGCACGAATGGTGGTAAAATCACGATAAAATCGCGGCAAAACACACCGCACCACAGGTGTGCAAACACATGCGGTCCTGATGCAGTTCTGGTGTGAACTAGCCCTTAGTGTAAGTAAAATAGGATTGCATTTTTTTAAAATAAACTTTTCTCCTAACTTTGTTTATGTTTTCTCTTCCTGCACTGTACACTTCCTGTAAGCTCTATGTATGAACTGCATGTGGATGTGTTCCAGCAGCTGCTGAACATTACAATTTTACTGCATGAACTATGTCAGAATGTGGTTTGGGCAAGGCAAGGTCTATGGACAAACCTTGCTGGTGTGATTTATTCAAAATCAGGCGATATTAAAAAATTACTTTTTGGGACTTTTTGCCAAACCTTTTGATATAACAGAGATAAGTGCATCATTTGGTTTTAATGTTTTAGTTTAGATACAGCATATAGTTTAACACTTGCTTACATAGTTTGGCTGGATAAAAGTATGTCTATTATTTAGCACATCGATCAGAAAGATCAAACAAAAATACCTTGCATCCTCAGAACCCTTAAAAGAAATCTGCACTGAGAGAAATAGGGGTGCTGCTATTGCTAATCTGTTAATCCAAACAAATTCTAGTTGCCTGGCTGTCATGCTGTTGCTCCAGATCAGTTACTCAAAAAGTATTAAATCCAGAAACATCCAGTCAACCAGCATTGTTAGAATTAGGTCAGCAATGTTTAATTACATTTTTAGGTATGCTGTGTGAATGGGAATATATAAAAAACATATAGCGGGGGTTTCTCAAATTTGCAAAAGTGGAAATACTATAACTCCTTAATTGCAGTGCTCCTAATGAAAACTACCCGAATAAAATCAAAAGCAGAAAATCTTCCTGACTGTGTAATACCAATAAAAATATAAAATATATAAACAACCAAAATAGTGATATACAAATATCGGTAAGTGCTCCTGTGTGCAATCCCGATAAAACATAAATTCAAGGAGCAAAATCAGATCGACCAAAGTGCAGTTAGTGGCAGTTATAAAACTGTGCAAATAGCCTTTTGTAATAACCTGTAATGGCCAATATAATTAATAAACGTGTGCAAATATACCTCTCTGGTAACCAATAACAATGCAATACCATTGATAATGCTGTGCTTATATCGGTCTGTGGTAATTAAATACAGTTCACGCAAATTTCAAAACGTGCTAGCAAGGATCAAGGTGCAAAACTCCAGTATTCTCTCAAGTGTCAAAAGATGATAACTTCACTGGGTAAACTAATTGGATTAGTTTGACCTTTTATGAAAAAGGTCAGAAAGCATCAACTTAAGGTATACAAACTTCACTCCCTGACTCTGGATCCTTATATCATCCTTAAATGCTCCACATTAATGCAATAAAAGGAGAAAAGGAAGACTCTCCATAGTGTAAAACCATTCAGTTTATTGTATCAAAAGCACTATTATTAGCACTAGCTAATGCACTTAATTTCCTCCTTCTCTCCTGGTCTCTCTGAGAGCTAGAAGTGTGCAGCCAAGCATCACTCATTCCACCACGTGTTACATCACTTCTGGCCTTTCTCAGGAGCACTCCTGTTATCATCCAGCAAGTTATACTTGACCAATGAATGCATAGATAGGAGCAGATAGTGGTAGATAGTTGACAAAGCGACGCATAACATTCATTCATACACTCTAGGGGGGGTAGGTTTGGGGGAGTCAATGGTGGAGAAATATTTGGGTGTTCTGGTAGATCATAGACTCAATAATAGCATGCAATGTCAAACTGCAGTTTCTAAAGCAAGCAAAATACTTTCTTGTATTAAAAGAGGTCTAGACTCCAGAGATAGAGACATAATCCTGCCCCTGTACAAAGCATTAGTAAGACCTCATCTGGAATATGCAGTTCAGTTTTGGGCACCAGTTCACAAAAAGGATGTTGTGGAACTGGAGAAAGTGCAGAGAAGGGCGACTAAACTCATAAGAGGCATGAAGGAGCTCAGCTATGAGGAAAGATAAGCTGACCTGAATTTGTTCTCTCTGGAGAAGAGGCAATTAAGGGGGGACATGTTCAAAATGTATAAATACATAAATGGTCCATATAAAGAGCTTGGTGCCAAATTATTCACATTAAGGACAAGGGGGCACTCTTTGCGCCTGGAGGAAAAGAGGTTTAACCTTTGCATACGGAAAGGATTCTTCACAGTTAGAGCTGTGAAAATGTGGAATAGACTCCCCCAGGAGCTAGTTCTAGCTAGCTCAGTTAATTGTTTAAAAAAACATCTGGATGTATTCTTAAATGCACAGAATATTACTGGATATTGAATTCTTATAGGTATATAAAGCATCAGCGATTGTTGATCCAGGGAATATCCGATTGCCTTATGGGATCAGGAAGGAATTTTGTTTTCCCCTGTTGGAGCAATTTGAACCATGCTTTGTAGGGTTTTTTTGCCTTCCTCTGGATCAACATTGGGTAGCTGTGGGCATAGCGTTCTGTTTAGGCTTTTCTTCTCTTTTTGTTTTGTTTTTTTTCTCTGTATCTCTATAGGTTGAACTCGATGGACTTGTGTCTTTTTTCAACCTAACTAACTATGTAACTATGTAACATTTACACAGCACTATTAAGTGACTAATATATTTATATATAGGTTAAGGTTGATGTAATATCATTACCCGATATATAGAACATTGCATTAAATACAGCTGGGCAAAACAGCTGGAGATGGATTAACAGTATAGAGAAAAACAGTTAACTAATCAGCAACATGCAATGTCAAGCAACAGCTGCAAATGATAATTCTTTTATTTTGGGTATGCACAAAGGACCTAAAACATATGAAACAAGCATAGTGGCAACACTTTTTAAAATTTACGTACAGCATTTCCTAAAAAAATTGCTATAGTTTTGGCAACTCACAATAAGTAGATTGGAGGTTGAATTGTATTCAGATGGCAGGCAAGTAACAATAAAAAGGGTGAACAGCTTTTCTTACAATAAAGGGTTTAAAAAATGTTGCTTCTGTATAAGTTTAAGCCCTTCAAAAAAATCACATGAGCAAGCAGCAATTGCAGAGAAAAAACGGTAAGGACAAAATATATTCATTATCCCTGTTAACATGCCCAGTAGTATCTTAATATATAACTTTTGTAATCCTCAGTCAGATCCAGTGGCATAACAATAGCCATAGTAGCCCATGTGGCTGCTATGAGGCCTGGGGTAGGAGGGGGCCCATTTAGGGAGTCTTTGGTGGAAAAATTAGGAGCTTCTGGTATAGAAGGGCTGAAGTCAGACTGCAGGATTGCCTAGTCACTGGTCCCCCTCTGTGCTTTAAGAAGCATTTGCTTAGCTGTCTTAGCAGTGTAGAATTATTGCCCTGAACTTTTGCTGCAGACTGAAATTAACCCTGAATGCCTAATGCAGTCAAAATGTATTCTCTGACAAAACCTTATAGGACAGCTGAGGTTTGTAGTTCTACAAACTGAAGTTTGTATTAGGGTTTTGGGGGTTAAAAGTCAAAAAGGCTGTTAACTTTTCAAGGAAATGTGCACTTTGCAAGCGAATTTTCTCTTAGCTTAATACATCTTGTGAAAATTCACTTTGAAAGAAATACCCAAACACATGCAAGGAAAATTACATTGTTCTTTTGCTTGCACATGATTGGATGATGGAGTTTTACCTCATTCACCAAGCTAAGGGAAAATTCCCCCGCAAAGTGCAAATTACTTTGCAAAGTGAACAGACTATTTGCCTTTAGTAAATCAACCCCATTGAGTAATTGTGAGCAAGAGCATAAATAATTTTGTCATAATATAAAATAGAATTATGGTTATTATTGCTAACACAACTATAACTTTTATCCAAAGCACCGCACCCCCCATAGTCTGACTATGCTGGCAGCTCTCCTGTCACCTTTCTTGACATACTGTATTGTCACAGTTGGCACTGGTAGCTGATACAGAAAGAGATAGCTGGGGAGCTCCATCAAAATGTTGCCATGGGGTCCCATGATTCATAGATACGCCCCTGGTCAGATTTAATACCTGGTACAAATGGAAGAGGTTATGTCCTTCATTCTGCAAGAAGTTATTATTGGTTCTGAATCTTAGCAGAGAGGAGTTTCGCCAGACGTTTAGTGGTGTCTTGTTTGGCACTTGCCATATTCCAATATTGTTGGCCATAATGTCAAAAAATGCAGGGTTCTAGAAAATAAAGAATAGACTAATAAAACTATTCATAAATGTGTAAAATAAGAATATTTACATGTGTTTTTCATGGGCTTTAATTTAAGTGTATCTAAAGCCAAAGAGGGTTTTTTTCAATTTTGTATAGAGTGCAAGAAACTGCAGCTGTCTGTTTTTTTTTAGATGCCTGTGTCTCTGTGGTGTGGATTTACCCTCTATTGGGACTATGTGGGACTGAAAGTGATGGGAAATGTAAAAATTTTGAGTTGTCACTAGAACAAGAAGAGAGGCGAATTATTTCAATGGAGAACCAAGAGTGGATTTCCTGTCACTTTGGAGAAAAAGTTGAGGCTTTAGATATACTCTGATTTGCAGTTTGTGTTATTTATGAAAGGTGGTTTTTGTAGCTCATAAGGCTGTTTTCAGTAAGTTAAAGTCATATATGATAGCATGTGTAGTCAAAACAGAAAAAAAACTAATGACATGTAGTAGAAAAGCAAGTACTATCAGGAATGGTGATTTTTCAAGTGAACAAAAATTAATATCTCCACCAGGACTTTCATTGTCAACCCTTCCACCCAAATACCTTTGCGATCAAAATCTTTACTTTTCAAGTATATTGTTTTCAACTTTAAAATACTTATGAAAGCATCCTTTCCATTAGAAAGGCAGAGAACTAAGAAATTGAAAGCTGAATTATAAGTTGGCCTCCGAAAACATAACCTAAATATCTAAATTAATTGCAACAACTAAAATTTAAAAAAATAATATTTGTAGTTCAAGATTATACTTTGTAATCATCACTGGTGGCTTCTTCTGGTGTCCCAAATGTAGCATAATTTGCCCAGTTATCATCTCCCCTGGGGTTATTTTCATTGTTTCCTTGTTGACTGGACCAGCGATCTCCAGCAGTACATTTCCCATTCATATTATTCTCATGAATACTGGCCACCAAGGTCCACCCTCCACCATTAGTGGTCATGTCACAGAAAGTCTGGTAGGTCATTCCATTTTTAGTGGTCAGTGTATAAATCCCATCTAGTGGCAAACAAATATATGTTGATATGTATGAAGATTGTTATGTATTGCAAAGATAAATATACGCTTATCAGAAGCACATTATTGCTTAAATATTTGTTTGCTAATTTATGTATAATGGCAGTTATATTCAGACCAAATATGGTTGCAGAAATAATTAATGTGGGGATGGGTATAATCACAACCTACTACAGGTGAAACTCGAATAATTAGAATATCGTGCAAAGTTAATTTATTTCACTAATGCAACTTAAAAGGTGAAACTAATGGGGGCGGAGCTTGCCAATGGCAGCGGCTGGACGTGTTTGTCCTTAGCTCCGCTGCAGTGAATCGGGCATCGTACTGAAAAGTGCCACCACCGGCCGTCCCACCGCTCACAATGGGATCCAAACGGGGTAAGAAATCCCAGGGCTCCAAACCGGACCGCTCGCGGAACCCGAGAGCCGCGATTAACAGCTTCTTTGCGGCTCCGGTAACCACGCGAGCGGCCGGCTCTGCAGGCCGCATGGCGGAGACACGTGGGGACTCCCCGGCTTCCCCAGACTCACATACATCACAGCCGCCTGGTCTGTCGCCCGCTCTGGCCGATCGGGAGGCCACATCTGATGAGGACTCTGTCCCAGGTGGCTCCCCTGGTGACATGCGACACCTGCTGGATCACCTCCCCTCTAAAAGGGACATGGAGGCGCTATTTGCCCGCTTTGAGCACGTCCATAGAGCAGATGTGGCGGGCCTCCATGAAGCAATTAAAGGGGTCCATGGCCGACTGGACACAGTGGATCTCCACGTGGACGCACACCGGACAGCCATCACGGCCCTACAAGCTACTGCTGTGACACAGCATAAGATGCTGCAGGCTATCTGGACGCACATGGACGACGCAGAAGACAGGAATAGGAGGAACAATGTGCGCATCCGCGGCCTACCAGAGGCAACGGGCACGATGGACCTGGAACCCACCATCCGAGGTATTTTTAACTCGTTACTGGGCAGGAGGTCAGAGGAGCCTATCGACCTCGATAGAGTACACCGGGTGCCCGGGTTTCGGAACCCCTCCGCACAACAGCCCAGGGACGTGCTGTGCCGGGTTCACTTTTACAAGCAGAAGGAGGAAATCATGGCCAAGGCCCGCGAGCGTGGATCGCTTGACTTTGATGGAGCTACCATAACCTTTTTCCCGGATCTGTCACCCCGCACCATGGCTCGCCGCAGGGCTTTACGGCCTCTGACCGCCCTGCTCCGGGAGCTCCACATCCCCTATCGGTGGGGTTACCCATTCCATCTGTCGGTGAGACAAAATGGCCGCCTGGTGATCCTGCGTTCCCCGGCTGGTTTGGCGGACTTTCTGGCTGCTGCGGGCATTACATCCTCTGTGGTTCTGGATTCCTGGCCAGATCCCCCGGCTCCCATATTTCCCGAGGTACCGTTGCTTCCCCAGTGGTCTACAGTGTCCCACTCGAAGAAATCCAAAAGGGATCCGGCTACACGCAGCTCCCTGCCTTAAGGGATACAGCTCGACGCTTGAGAGTTTGCCTTACCTGAGGATCTCTTCACCCTGATGTGCCTACCCTGGGAAGTTTTATTGCCCGTGCCTTTTCTCTACGCCTGGATATCCGGGGGGCCTCGCCCCCCCCCGTATGTGCCGCTCTAACGGCTGGCGGTGGATTACTGCAAATGGACTCTGCCCACACTTCATCACTCTTCCTACCATAGCACTGCCTTTCTTCTATGCTACTCCTGGAGGGTTATTTTTGAATGGCGGCCCACACACCTGCCTTTGTGGCATATCCCCTACCACTTATCCACCTGTTGCAGAAGAACACTACATGTCCACTTGGGGCCTTCTTCAGCCACGAGACTCTGCCCTTGCCTCAAGCCTCCATGTGACACTGGGGACTAACCAACGGGTGATGTATCTCTGTACTACTGAACGCTGTTTGTGTTACGCTGCTTACTGTTTGATCTCTTACTGGGGGTACGCCCGACATATGCATTTACTGTAGAGTGTGATTGAACTGTGTGGAGTGATCCATTCATACCCGGCCGCCGCTCACCTGCACGCTCTCACCACTCCCCCCC